ATATATAATATACTCACTTATTTGTATTTATATTTTCTGCTTGGCCTCTAAAGGCACTTTATCTCTCACTCCGCAGTGCTGTGTTAGGTCTAGGGATATGACATGGAGAGGATCTCATGGGTAATATGTCTCCAGTGGATAACATATTGCTAAAGCTGTGATCATCTAGAGAGAAGAGATGGAAAGGACAGCGTCACATTTTGCAGGCTCCAGAGCAGGACTGACAGTGGTGTTAGAGACTACAAATAGGCAGATTGGAGTGCATCCTGAGGCAGGGCTCTCTCATAGGAAGCGCTGCATGGAAACTTGCTTTGAGAGCTGAGTATACTCCAAAGGCCCATGTGTTAAGCGTTGGATGCCAGGGGTGTACAGGGAGGTGATGATGCCTGTAGGAGTTTGGCTGAGGGGTGTGCTTAGGTCATTGGAGAAGTGTCCTAGAAGGGGACCGCAGGACCCAGATCCTTTCCTCTCTCCTTTCCTCCCTGTATCATAATAAAGTGAACAGTTTCACTCCACGATGTGCTCTCTGTGTTTGACACAGGCCCCAAACAATGTGGGCAATCAACCATAGACTGGATCCCCCCAAACCGTGAGCCAAAAATAAGTCTTTTCTCTTTGTAAGTTAATTATCTTCAGCGTTTCATGATAGCGACAGAAAGATGACTGATCTAGCTGCCTCAGGAGGCTGAGTCTCTGGGCACTGGAGGCACAAAAGCTAAGCCACCATCTGTTGTAAGAGTTAGAGAAGAGACACCTGTTAGGAAGGGGAGATGGTGTTAATGTTAAGATCATGTTAATGCTAAGATTCTTGGGATCTTAAACTGGAAGCTAAAGGTTGGTGTGGTGGGGGGGTGGGCATGTGCTATATGTATTAGCTCACTCAGTCATCATGACTGCAATCTGCCCTAGATACCATTATTCAGCCCATTTAACAGCAAATGCAACCTCTCAGAGGCCAAACAATGCGCCCAACCTAGTGAATAAGTCAGTGTGAATAATCGAACTTCAATCTGGCTTCAAAGTGCTGCTCTTTCTAGTACCTCACATTGCCACCCACCAGAAGCAAGCTTTTAAATACATTTTAATAGATTGCTTTCACTATATCCTTAATGTATCACAAATTGGCCCTATTAGCTGAGATCTCATTTCTGTAGCTGGACAACTCTTAGATCTTAATTCATCAACCTGCTGCACTGTCCCCTCTTCAGAAACATAAATGCCATCCCCAAATTGCCTGATATCTTTGTTTTTCACTGATGTTTCTTGCTGAATCAAAGCAGCTGGATATGAAACAAGTTCAATGCCTTTTGCTTCAGTGGTTAACTTTTCTTTCTTGACTTGAGATAATGAATGAACAAAAGCAGGCCTCATCCAAACCTTGCAGATTATATATGTAGTGTGATCCAAAACTACAGTGAAGATCTAAATAAAAATAAAAATAAATCAGGGCCGGGGATCTAGCTCAGTGGTGCCACTGCCTGCCTCGTAAGCACAGGTTCTGAGTTCAATCCCCAGTTCCAAAGATAAATAAATAATCACAGTATAAGACACACTGTCATTAGTCCCCCTCAGAATATTCCCCCTTGAATTAAACACACTTATCTCCTTGTCCTTGTCACGTTCTGAAGCAGATCTGGAAGTCTTCTTTTGTGTCTTTTCATTACTCTCTTGATGATCTGGACCAATTAAAAATATTGACATCAATTTCTGTCAAATAAAAACATTACAGTGCATCCTTGTCTACCTTATTCATTGAATCTGTAACCGTGAGACTTCTGGCTCTTTCTCAAATTCAAAATGACCACGAAAGGTAAATGAGACCACTCCAGAGACAGAGTCCTCCAAAGGGAGCCATGTCTCCCCTTGCAAAATGGAGGCTTCATCTGCCTTTGAGAACTAGAGGTCTTATTTTCCAAAACTGAGAAGCAGAGCACTGTTGCAGAAAATCCTCCCTAGATGAACTCTCTGGAAGCAGCAAGCTCCAGTGCCTGCATGCTGGTGAGTCCTCTTATGGCTTGTGTATAGCTGTCCCCCCCAAAGCCTCATGTGCTCATTTGATGGGGCTTTTGGAAGCAGGCTGGATCTAGGATGTGATGCTGGGATTAAGGGTGTATGGTACTAGCTGGGTGTGCTGGTGCACATCTTTAATCCCAGCACTCGGGAGCAGAGGCAGGAGGATCACCACGAGTTTGAGGCCAGCCTTAGCTGCATAGTAAGTTCAAGGCGAGCCTGAATTACAGGGCAAGACCCTGTTTCAAAAAAAAAGAGGGGGAGGTATGTGGTTCTAAATTAGTCCATTGATTGGAAATAGCATAGTTCTGGGTGTTGTTGAATGTATTTACTGACTACAAAAGCGTCACCCTGGATATGGGTGGCATCACCCAAAAGGCATGTAGCCTGGATGGGATAAAAGGGAAAGGCAGGCTCACTGCTTGCTGCTTCCTGCCTGCCCTGCCATGGACTACTTTTCCTCTGCCAGACCCCTCTGCCATGCTGCCCTGACTTGGAGCCAGCCCACTATGAACTGAAATCTCTTCAAACTGTGAGATGAAACAAACCTTTCCTCCCTCAACTTTGGATGTCAGGTATTTTGTTTCAGCAATGAGAAAATAACTAAGACAGAGCCCATACTGTTCTTTTTGTTGTTTTGATTTGAGATAGGATCTCACCATGTAGTCCAGGCTGATCTTGAACTCATGGTGATGCTCCTGCCCCAGTTTCCCAAGTGCTGAGATTACAGGTGTGTACCACTGTGCCTGGCTAAGGCTCCACAATGTTCTAAAGTCTCCACAGTGTTAATCCACATCTTGATGTACTCATCATGTTGCACAAGAAAATATGCAGCGCTGTGTGGCTGCTCAGCCTCCAGTTCTCGCCTTCTTTCCCCTGAGCCTCGACTCTAACATCTTGTAGCACACAATCATCTTCCATGGGTGGTAGTGGCTCAGTTAATTCTCAGTGAATGAAAAGGTTAAAGCATGTGCCTAGAAAGGGGAAATACGGCTTTAACTAGTCACATCTATGAGATTTAAGAGGACCTGTTAGTTTGAGAGCTGTAAAATCATTTTTTAAAAAATAGAACCAATTCTTTATATATCCTTGATAATAGTCCTTTGTCTGAGGAACAGCTGGTAAAAATTTTTTCACACATTGTAGATTATCTCTTAGTTCTGCTGATGGTTTCTTTTGAAGTACAGAAGCTTTCTAGTAAGACAAGATCCCAGTTGTTGATTCTATCTGCTAGTTCCCGTGCTACTGAGGATTTGTTCATAAAATTTTTTCCTATACCAATGTCTTCCAGAGTTCTGCCTAACTTACCTTCCAGCAAGTTTAATGTTTTTCTTTTAATATTTAGATCTTTAATCCATATGGATTTTGTGGGAAAAAAATTTTACCAGCTGTTCCTCAGACAAAGGACTATTATCAAGGATATATAAAGAACTCAAAACAATCAGTCCCCCCAAATATAAAGACCCAATTCAAAAATGGGCATCCGAAATGAACAGACATTTCTCAGACAAAGAAGTAAAAGCAGCAAGAAAATATTTGAAAAAATGTTCCACATCACTGGTCATTCGAGAGATGCAGATGAAAACAACACTGAGATTCCACCTCACCCCACAAAGAATGGCTGCTATCAAGAAATCACACAATAATAAATGTTGGCGGGGTTGTGGGGAGAAAGGAACCCTCCTCCATTGTTGGTGGGAGTGCAGACTAGTGCAACCACTATGGAAATCAATATGGAGATACCTCAAAGAGCTTGGACTGGAGGTTCCATTTGACCCAGCCATCCCTCTGCTGGGTATCTTTCCAAGAGAACTAAAAGAATCATATCACAGAGAAGTATGTGCACCCATGTTTATAGCGGCACAGTTTGTAATAGCTAAATCTTGGAAATAGCCTATTTGCCCACCCGTTGGAAACTGGATAAAGAAGTTGTGGTTTTTCTATAAAATGGAATATTACTCAGCCATAAAGAACGAGAAAATAGATTCATTCATAGGAAAATGGATACATATTGAAGATATACTCCTAAATGAAATAAATAAGTCACACATGTGTAAATACCGGATAGTTTCCCTGGTGTAAATAATCTGCAACAATGCATAAGATTCTAATAAGATTACTGACATTTAGAAATGGGAAGAAAGGATCTAAAGGTGTAGGGAAGCTGGGATGGGTAGGGGAAGAGTAAAAAGGGAAAAGAAGAAAATGTGAGAGAACGAAAAGATGAAAACAAAGTGTTTGTAGATGGGGAGGGGAGGAGGGGGTGAAGGGAGGGCAGAGGTAAGGGGAAAAAATGAGAATCAAGACTTGCCATGTAGAGGTACATGATCCCAATAATGAATGTAACTGTACTGTATCCCTAAAATGTACCAATAAACTCAATAAAAGCTGAAAAAAATAGAACCAATTCAAGGGTTTACTAAAATATTATCAACAAGAAAATTAAAGCAGAAAAGATTGATGAAGATATTTTCTTAAGACATGTATAATTATAACTTAATGTGCATGAAATTGTCAAATTTAAGGATGAAACATGAATGGCAAGGAAGAAAGACAAGAGAAGAAGCAAGCAGAGGGAGGGAAGAGGAGCACAAGGTAGAAAGAGCTCCAGGGACCTGACTCCTGAGTATGCTCTGAAATCATAGGGGTAAAATTATGTTTCTGTGCCCCCTGTCCTGTTCTGTGTTGTTGCAGTCATTGACTAGAAGCTATTAGAACAAAGCTTCCTAACCTTATTTCCCTCAAGTCTGCCAAAGATGCTCAGGTCCATACATACAGCACGACTCCAATGTGCAAGAACAGATATGCTGGCACTTTTACTACAGTCCAGTATTGTCACTGCTCAGTGTGATCATTGTTAATCTCTTACTGTGCCTAATTTGTGAATTGAACTTTATCATAGTGTACATACAAGAAAAAAAAAAAAGTCTGTAAAGGGTTTGGTTCCACCAGAGATCCAGACGTCCACTGGAGGTCTTGAAATGCATGTCTGTCCCTTGAAGAAGGGTACCACGATATATTCTCTGGGGTGCTGGTTAAATGGACACATGTACAAATGTGTAGAGTTTCACATTAAAAGTTTACAGTATGTTATACTGCAGTTTAAAAAGTGAGTGAAAGCTGGTTGACAGGCTGTCCTTTTCCTTAGGACCTTGGCCAGACCATGGTCACCAATAAGTTCACAGTCTATGGTGAGAGCTCACCTACTCCTGCCGAATGTCCAAGACCACATGACTGTCAAAACTCCCAGCTATCGTAGTTGGAGGGAAAGGAAAATGTGCCACAAGGGAAATGATCCCCATTGGAGGCTATGGAGATTGTTGACATCAGATCTGAATCTCCTTGACTCTAAGTCTAAATTCTCTCCATTTCACCCCCAACCCTTCCAGGGTTCAGTGAAATTCTGCTTCATTGGCCAGTATCAAATTACCATTCCGTAAGTATGATGCTCAATCTAGAAATGCTTATGACTTAAAGCACTGGATAGATATCATATTTTGATCTGCTCAGAAGAATAATGGGGGCTGTGAGGCTGAGAAAACAAAGACAAGGACAGCCAGCTACCCATGAAGGGTGTTCGGAGCTCCATCGGGTCTTCAATTCCACTAGTTCTCCTCACTCAGCTCCTCCAGCATGGTAGGGTCCCTGGGGTGCCCACAGCAGCCCCAGGAGCTGCCACGGCTGTAACCCAATGGTCCCAAGCATCTCCATGTTTTCAAAGCAGTGCTGCAGAAGCCCCTTCTCACTGTGCAGATGAGGAAGGCGAGGCAGAAGGGGCTGGAGGCTGACAGGCGCCAGTGAGGAAGGTGTAAATGGAGGCCAAGGGATACACCTCAGGGGTGCAGCTCCTATGTCTCTAGTGGAATACTAACCAGGAGGCAGCCCCTGAGCATCAGCAAGACAGCAGCTGGCCATTCACAAGTTTTGCGGCACTCAACCTCCAAATGTTTCTGTGTGTGCCATCTCCTCCTGTGTGTTGAGGGTTACGAGACAAGGAGGAGTCAAGGTCACGGTCCTTTTTTGCTTAAGTGTCCACGTGCTGCCAACAAGGCCTGCCTGATTGCAAAGGCCAGGACCCTCTGCACACACAGCAGGATGCTGTGACTCACCCAATGCTGCTTCCCAAGTCACCAGCATAACCTTGTGCTTTCTCTGCTTCTGGCAATGCAAACCACAGAGATTGGAGAACAGGATTCTCCGCAGTCACCGTATTTAGGGCTTGCTTGCTTTTCTGTCCAAAGGCTACTGCGTGGTTCCACAGCTTTGGTTGAGATTCAGTAGACATTTGCATTCTCTGTGCTGATTAGGCTCTTCCTGCTGAAACTGAGTTCCTGGCTTTGAGCAGCACCACGGCGCCCAGGACCAGCCATCCAGATTCCCTGCACATCAGGAAATGGGAGCCAGACTCCTGCGCGTGTCTCTGGACACAGGGCTGATTTCCCCTCCTGGGCAGATGACAGGATGAAGTCATCACACGTGATTGGTTAGTGGAGAAACTCAGCCTTCTAGAAACTAAGAGCAAGCATTTGCCTTACAAGAAACTAGTGGGGAAGCCGGGCTTTAATCAATGACATAAATAAATCACTGGAGGTTAGAGGCTGGTAAATTCAGGTGGCAGGGTGTCTGGGTTTCTTCTCAAATGTAAAGCATACATTTCTTTGTTGAGGAGAACATCCTGGAATTCCAGCATGAGAGGTAGCACAGACTCCTTCTTAGTAATAGGAACCACACAAAGGAAAAAAGTGCTTTTTAAAAATAAATAAGACATTTCATTTTTATTCTGGCAAATTTGGGTGTAAAAATGCAAAACAGTGTTCCACAGGAAGGTGCATCTTCCGCCTCTGGCCAGGCTCCGGGCTGGGGGAGGTCGGGTCCACCTCTCCAGGGAGATGTGGTAGAAACCGGCTTGAGCCTTCCCTGCCTGCATGGCCCCACGTGAGAAGCCAGCACTGAAGATCCAAGGCCTAGAGAACAGACGAGGGGATGCCTGAAGTGACCTCTGCCCTCTCACCCCTGTTCCTGGCTGGTATCCGGTGTGAGCATTTACTCACTGGGCCCAGGAGCCTTCACACTGCCATCCCAGACCCTCCCTGGTGCACTCCTGTATTTTTATGACAGACTGCATTTTAAATGTACTTTTTAAAATTCTTTTGGGGGCTGTATATTTAGAGCGTTTTTGTGTTCACAGTAAAGTTGAAAGGGAAGTACGCATACACAGCCCCCTGTCAGCACCATCCCCACTGGGTTGTGTGTCCCCACACAGACGTTATCACCAGCACTCGGAGCCCACAGCCTAGGATTCTCCCTTGGTGTTGCACATCCTATGTGTTTGGACAAATAACACAGAGCTGCCACCACAGGAGCAATCCCACAGAATCGTGCCCTACACATCCCTGTGCTTATCCCTCCCTCTACACCCTGGAGACTACTGACCTTTTTACTGTTTCCATTTTCCAGAAAGTAGTAGAAGGAGAACCACGCAATGCAGCCTTTGCAGACTGACTTCTTTCAGGGAATCATATTTATTCCTTCTTTCTGTCTCCCATGTAGCTACTTAACTCGTGTGACCCAGTGTTAGGTGAGAACATGGACCCCTTGTTCAAATCATTAAGAATTTCCAGAGGGTGACAGTCGAGAGCAGCAGCTGAGTAAGGAACTTCATGCACTGCAGGTGTTGGCCCATGAAGTGGCCCCACTAAAGAACAAGGCATTAAGCAGGGCCCAGTGCGTGTCTGGGCTCTACATCTTGCTCACATCCCACAGAACTGGGACACGAAAACAAAAGGGTGTTTTTGTTTGTTTCTAGCCTTGCCAACGACTTCTGTGCTTGAGTGCTTTCTCAAACAACACAGCTCAAAGGACAAAGGAGGGCAAAGCCAGGGCCTCTGCTGGTTCCTTCCTTGGCGTCACTGAAACCCAGCACAATGGAGTCTGTGCCGTCACCAGCTCTGCAGTGTGAGGCCCCCAGGATGCCCAGGAACTGATGACAACATCTTGGGTTGTCTTTCTGATGACGAGGCAGCCAATGTATTTCCAAGCAGCGTGCTGTGAATTCAGAGAGCCTGCAGCTGCCTGGCTCTGCAGGGTCACAGGGCAGGTGGCGGCAGCACGGTGTGTGTCACTGCTCCTCAGGGATGTGTTCCTTCTGGTTCCCGATTATCACTGTAAAGTAAGCAGTGGACATCACAGCACTCACACCTGCCTCCTCCAAGATGCTGGTGCTCCAGAGCGCACATGCTGTGAGACCCTGTGGGGTGGAGAGAGACAAGGTAGAGGGTGGCAGAGGGTGAGGACACTCAGTGACTGCCCTCAGCAGGACACACAGATACAAGGTGTGCTGGTGTCCGGGGGCTGCCGTGACCGAGCTCCACAGGCGGCGGCTGCATCTCTAAATGTTTACTTGCTCACAGAACTGGAGGCTGATGTCCAAGACCAAGGACTCCGCAGGGTTGGCTCACGGTGAGGTTTCTCTGCTCAGCTTGTAGGTGGTGTCTTCTCCCATTTGCGCTTGTCTGTTCCTGACCTCTTTTTCTGGAAGACACCCATCTTCTGGCGGATGGGGGTCCATCCGAGCAACCTCGCCTTACCTTAATGACCTTTGTAAAGGCTCTGCCTTCAAATACAGTCCCACTCGGTGGTCCTCGGGCTAAGGATTTCAACATAGGAATTTTGGGACAAACAATTCAGCCCATCACACAAGGTAATTTAAATTCTCCCCAAGAGTGAGAGCGATAGTGACCCAGACCATGGAGAGTTTTTAGTAATATAATTCAGTTATTGCTGTAATTGTGCATTTCTTAGCATCTGTCACTTAATTATTCAGATTATCCAGTTTCATCTTCCACCCACTTAGATTTCCAAATAGAATCAGATTGTTTTATACTACCCCAGGATACCTCTTGCCTCTTTCCCATCACTTTATGTTTTCTTCTTCTCACATGCCAATAACATTTTGGATTCTTTCATATATCCAAATGATCAAACCACATCAGTTTTATGGTTAGTTTTAGTCTTGAGTGGTTCTGAACATAGATGAATCTCAATGCAGTTAGTAGAGTTAGAGGATAAGAGTCTCAAAATTCTCCATGAGTTCAAATCCCAACTCCAGCTTCACTAACCATGTGGTCTTGGGCTCATAACTGAACCTCTCTGAGCCTCATCTCTAAAATGGGACACATAAGGGTGCTCCTGTTATGGCACCATTGTGAAAATATAAGTGAAATAATATGTATAAAAGTACTTATCTTCTATAATTATACAGTAATAATGATGATTAATAATTATTATACAACACAGCTGTATTATAAAGGATATTTATTGTCGAATTGCTTTGCAAGTGGTCCTGCTATGTTGCCAATAGCAACGAGAGTTTTAATGCCACATCAACAGAGAATATGACTCCTCACAAGGAATAAACGAGACAGTGTGGAACAGTATCTTTATGTACATACCCACCCTGCCTTTGTGTACTGTTCTAGCTGTTATTATTTTACATTCAAGGGGAGATGTCATTCTTTTTCATATTTTTTTGGGAAGTTTTACTGATGATAATTCTATTTCTGTTCATTGTTTTCTCTTGTTAATATTTTTCTTAACCACAGCAGGAAAACCTTAAAGCCTTTTTCTCTCCATCAGAAACACTATTTACATCTCATGGCATTCCCTTACTCCAGCCTTCTGTGGATCAGAGTGAGCACCTCTGTGCTTTATGGATGGTTCCATGGTAAAGCACTTGGAGATCTGCAGCCAGGGGCCAGGACTAGTGCAGGAGGTCTGTGAGTCACCTTTGCAATCACAGCCTATCACACAGGGCAGTGGCGTTACTCCTGCAGTGACTGCCACCCAGGGACCCCTGGAGCAGGGCCTCCTCCCCAGGGTGCACAGCCAGGTGCACGTCACAGGGCTGCACAGGGGGCACAGTGCAATAGCACCAAGTATAGCCTACCTGTGGAGATGTGATGGCATGGACTGAGGGCAAAACTAAAATACTAAATTGAGGAATGTGGGGTTTTTTCCAATGAGTTTATTGGTACTTTTTAGGTACACAGTACAGTTACATTCATCACTGGGATCTTGTTCCTTTACATGACAGGTCTTGGTTCTTATTTTTTCCCCTTACCCCTGCCCTCCCTTCACCCACTCCTACCTTCCCGATTTTCAAAGACTTTGTTTCCAATTTTTCCTTTTCTCATACTTTTTCTTTTCCCTTCTTTCCTTTCCCCTACCCTTCACACTTCCTCTACTCCTTTAGCCCTTTTCTTCCTATTTCACTTTATCAATTATACAATTTGAGCTTTTAGTTTTCCATACCAAAGAAACTATTTGGTATTTACACGTGTCCTATTTATTTCACTGAAGAGTATTGCCTCAATATGCATCAATTTAGCTATAAATGACTTTAATTTCTTATTCTTTATGGCTGAGTAGTTTTCCATTTTATGGAAAAACACATCTTCTTTATCCAGTCTCCAGTTGATGGGCAACTGGGCTGTTTCCAAGTTTTAGCTATTACAAACTGTGCCGCTATAAACATGGGTAAGCATATATCGCTGTGATATGATTCTTTTAATTCTCTCGGGAAGATACCCAGCAGAGGGATAGCTGGGTCAAATGGGAACTCTAATCCTAGTTTTTTGAGCTATCTCCATCTTTATTTCCACAGTGGTTGAGGAATGTGTTTTTTTAAAGGTCCTGTGGAGTATTACCTTCCCCGCAGATGCCAAAATCCATGGATATCCAAGTCCTGTATCAGAATGGTGTTGTGGTTGCAATTCTATGGAATTCTCCCACATAATTTAAACCACCCTTAGATTACTTATAACCTCCAATGCAGTGTAAATTCTATGTAAATAGTTGTAGTACTGCTTTTTAAGGTATTATAAGAAAAAAAAGGTTCTATGTGTTCAGTACAGATGAAACGGTTTCAAGTATTTTCAATCCACACTTGGTTGAATCTGTGGCTGTAGAACCTGTAGATCTAAAGGGGAGATTACCCTCCTCACTTTGGTTCACCAAAGATGCTGATCTTGGTGTTTTAAGCCTGGTATGGGGGTTTTCTGTAGTTATTTTATTCTGCCCATTTTCTAATTGCATGCTCACATTAGACCCAGATCTATAAGGTGTTACTCTGCTGAGACTTCTGTGTTTATTCTACAAGATGAGGATGGAATTATTTTGTCAACTTCTTTAAAAAAAATAATCTCCCGGGGACCGTAGAGACCATAATGAGTAAATGTGGCTCTACAAGCGGGGACACAAGTGTGGGGACACAAATGGTGCCCTCCTCACAGGGGCTCCACTGTCAAGCTGACATGGTGGTAATGTCTGCAATCCCAATGGCTCTGGAGATGGAAACAGGAGGATGGCAAGTAAGAGGCCAGCCTGAGCAGCTTAGTGAGACCCAAAACAAAAATGGCTGGGCATGTAGGTCATCAGCAGAGCATTTGCCTAGCAAGCTCAAAGCACTTTCAATCCTTAACTCCAAAAAACAAAAGAAAACAAGACAAGAAATCAAACTTACAGAGTCACAGTCAGCTCTCCATACCCTCTTGTTCCACATCTGTGGTTTTAACTGAATGTTGATGAAAAACACCTGAAAAAAGATTGCACCGTGTACAGATATTTTTTCCTGTTCTGTATAGAGTATATTCCATAAACAATGCAACAATTTACATAGCACTGATGTTTTTAGGTATTAAAAGTCATCTAGAAATAGATTAAAAGATATACGGGAGAGCCAGGTGTGATGACACATGCCTATAATCCCAGCACTCTGGGAAGCTGAGACAGGAGGCTTACAAGTTCAAGTCCACCCTGAGAAATTTAGCTACTTATTGAGACCCCGTCTTAAGGAAACATACAGCATCCCTGGGTTCAGTCCCCAGTACCAACAAAATAAAACAACTGAAAAGAATGTACACTTTAAAATGTTCTGTATTTTTGACCCTAGAATAGGATATAGACCAGCCCATCTATTCAAATTTTAATTTGAATTTTTACCTTAGGTTCACATATGTTTTCACACATTTCTTGTTGCTATTATAAATGTCTGGGTGGCCAACATAAACAGACTCCTTTCCTCCACTAGAGATCACTATTTTTTGGGGGGGAGTTTGTTTGTTTGTTTGTTTTTTTGGTACTAGGGATCGAACTCAGGACCTTGCTCTTGCGAGGCTCAGTGCCACTGTGCTAAATCCCCAGCCCTGAGACCATATTTTTAACCATGGTAGAAATGATATTCATGTGGAATAACTATTACCACTCTTCTTGAGCACATTTTGCACTGTATTGCTGTGGGCTGTCTGCTGCTGTGCTGTCCACTTGCAGCAGCTTCTCGGTCTCCTCTTGGCCACTCTGCGCATCTTCACTGCGTTCCCTCCTTGACTGGATTTGCTTCCTAAACAGTGGTAACCAAAGAGCTCATGCTGAGATTGTTTTCTTGTCCCTGACTTTTTCTTATTTCTAGGATCTCTAAATGAAGGTCATTGGTTTCTTTTTGTAGTGCTGGGGATTGAACCCAGAGCCTTGGCTACATCTCCCCTTTGCTATTTTTATTTTTTGAAACAGAATTTCACTAAGTTGCCCAGGCTGGGCTTGAACTTGTTATCTTTTTGTTTATTGGCAGTATCGATAGTGACAGACTGAAATACTAATGGACACTAGCCAGGGTACATATAAAAAGAGAACCCTTTCCCACATGTTGCCACAACCAGCTTGCAAAGACAGCCTATCAGTCAGACCTGGAGGAAGTCAGGCCATGCCTGACATAACATCCAGGCAGCCAAAAAATAAGCTCTGAGTCCAGTCTCAAATCACCAGGACTCAGTTAATAAAGGGCAACTTCTGTCTTTGTGTGTTTGGGGCTGCTACAACAAAACACCCAAGACTGGACATGTTATAAAGTACAGAGTGTGGCTCCCGGTTCTGGAGGCTGGGGAGTCCAAGAGCTTGACACTGGCATGTGGCGAGGGCCTCCTTGCTGCACCATGCCATGGCAAGACAGAGCCAGTGTGTTAGCTCAGGCCTCTCTTCTTATAAAGTCACTAATGCCATGGTGGGGGTTCCAGCCTCATGACCTAACCTAATGCTAACTACTCTGAAAGGCCCCACCTCTAAATCCCATCAATATATGAATTAGGAATTAATTTCCAACATATAAAATCTGGGAGACATGCCCAAACCCTAGCAGCCTCTCTACTTTTTGTGCCTACTTCCACTTTAGGATCAACAAGACAAAGCCAAGCTGTTGAACAGTTACCTGAAATGTCCTGCTTCAGTACAAGTAACGCGCTTGGGGCTAGGAGATCAATCCCCTCTGACCACTCGAGTTTGGGCAACATCCTTCCATTGTTCCATAGTGAAATAGGAAAATAGTGGACAACGTGGGGAAGATAAACTGTGAGCCCTCCATGCATGCGTGATTGAGTTTAGGTTTTCGTCCTCTTAAGGCTGAGCTACTGTTGCCTTGAAAAGAGGCAAACAACAGCGATTTAAACAATCCATTCCACTAAAACATGATGTGCATTAGAAAATGTTGAGGTCCTATGTGAAGGTGAGAAGACTTTCCAGACTGATGCTGGCCCACAAGGGGAGGAGTGCTCTAGGCAGAGGGAGTTCAACAGGTAGGACATGAAGCCAGGGAAAAACCAAGCCCAGAGGGAGTCAGAGTGACCCAATGAAGGACACAATAAGATGAAGCCCGAGATGAAGGGTTAACAAAAAGCCAAGGCCCAGGATGGGGAACCTGACGGCCAAGGCCAGGGCTCCAGTGGCCAAATAAACAAGGGTCCCATGTTAAATTAGTAGGATTCTCCTGTCCAGGAAAGTGATTACAAACAAGGTGATAGATAACCAGTACCTCTATTCATATCCCTCTGAAGGATGCCTTTGTTATGCTTGTATTAATAATTTTAGAAAAGTTATAATTAATGATTTTTACAGAAGTATATCGTTACATACCTATAGGCCCACTTCTTATCAAACTCTTCTGCTTATAATCTCTAGAACAGGCATACTTGTTGAAAGCCCCTAACTCAGAACTGCTAATCCTTCCTATAAATCTGTGAGACACCAGTGAGAGGCACCCAGGCTGCAGTGCACATCCTTGGAGGTCTGAAAGCCCGATTTATCTGTGTGCTCTTTGCCTTCCCTATCATCCTAGTACTGCTTTTCTGTTCATGCCACATTTTTGGTTTTTTGCTGGCATGGATCCACCCCGAGCATATTTTCCTGTTATCTTCAGTAAATGGCATTGCTTTTCTTTCACCATTGGATCTACGCTTACAATTCTTTGCTTACTGCCCACAAGAGTTTGAAATCTATCAGTTGGATCCATTACACAAATGCACCTGCAGTTCCCTGTCTCCAGCTTTCTTCAGGCCACAGTGCCCCCCCCAGCACTTCTGTGAGGTCCCCCTTTCCCACGGGAAGCTTTCCTGCATCTCACATGTCTGAGAGGCTCTGCCAAATTTAAGCGACAGTGGGTGACCTCTTGCTACAACAAACTTTAATCAACAGCCTTTGCTAATTCTCACTGGGGTGATATTGATATATTTCCACAATAAACATTTTTGCCGTTTTAAGAAACAGCTTCCTTCATTTGAATTTTGCTTCTAAAATCAGTTATAAGTAGTGACATGTTTTTACAGCAACTATGAAGGTGACAGTACAAATTTCCCCTTTGCTTGCTAATGTGATGAATGGCAAGAGATGTCATTGTTCATGTTTACTTTAAGAGGATCTTTTTCTTTCAACATAGATACCATGTTTCTCATTTTTTAAATGAATTGTGTTTATTTTGGTTCATATTTTCTGACATCATTGAAAGTGTATCAGAAAGGTACTGATTATGAAATATATAAATCTATCAAACTCTCTAATTTAATATTGATTTTCTCGTTTTGTTTCCAGTTTTAGGAGGCCTCAGTATGATCCTCAGGTGGTAATTTTGTTTTCATTTTGTATCTCGCTTCCAGTTCAGTAAATGACAATGGTCACGGTCAGAGGTCCCTAGATTTTGGCCCAACTGTGAGAGGCACCTTGAGTGCTTTCTCGTTGGGAATGAAAACACTGTGTGCTAATGAGCAGGGCTGCCGGGTCAAGGAGCTGACTGGGATCGGAAGCCCTTCTTCTCCTGGCTTGGTTTCCCACACACTGGAGATCCCTCCCCACTGTCTTTTCTCCAGGAATTTGCTGATCTGAGAAAGGAAATTTGAGTCCCAACAATGTGCATTCCCCTTGCCTTCTGTTCCACTGTCAGAATGATCTTGGGCCTGACGTTAGTTGACTCAAGAGGGTTGAGAAAGCAAGAAGGAACTTGGAAGAACTGACCTGAGAGAGCAGAAAATATCCTGACCGTGGGTGCAAAGGTGCATGTTGTAATGACAGCACTTTGGGAGGCTAAGCAAGGAGGATACAAGTAAGGGATAGGGATATTGCTCAGTGCAAAGGCCCTGAGTTCAACCTCAAGTGCTTAAAAAAAAGGAGGAGAGAAGGAGAAGAGGCAGAAGATGATGATGACTGACGGCATTTAAAACCCTTGGCAATCTGTCTCCACTGTATTCTTTTGAGAGAGGAAGGTAGGACATAGCTAAAACCAGCTGGAAAAGGAGGCACAACCAGATCCCGGAACACACTCACAGAACAGTTCCCAAAGCTCTGCATGTGGACTTCTCAGGAAAACTCAGGCAGGATAGGATGGTCTGGACCTGATGTTAGCCTGAGGAATGAGTAATACAAAAAGGACAGTCCACAATGAATTTTTGTCTCTGTGTTCCCTCTTGCATGGTGGCCTATCATCATCCTGTAGGGTGCACTTTTTCTCCTACTTTAACTTGGCTCAAACTCACTCTGCAGCCTGTTTCTTTTCCTACCTTTAATAAAACTGTGCTACCACTTGTGCTTGTTTTGACCAATTCTTTGGCTGAGACAGAAAGAATCTAGAAATCACCTCCAGAAGTAGACTCCGGCAACCCAAAGCCTAGTAACATTTGGACGCAGTACAATTTCCAAAACCTGAAGGGATGCAGGGTTTAGAGACTGGCCCAGGTCTGATCTACTTCAGCAAACTCACCCTGAACAGACAAGCCAAGAACTTGTTTCAGGGGCTCATCACTTTTCATTGTGTGATTTCAGTCATTTGCCTTTGAGTCCCACTTGGTCTGGAAGAGGGTCTTCTGGGGACTTCCTTCCCATGATTATGGCCAGAATGGTGTCCTCCAGCCCTCAATAAAATTTATATACTAAAGCCCTAATGCCCAGGACCTCAGAATACCAATGTATTTAGAGATAGGGTCTTTATAGAGATGATTAAATTTAAATGGGGCTATTAGAAGCCAGGCATCATGCCGCACACCTGTAATCCCAGCACTCAGGAGGCTGAAGCATGAGGATCATGAGTTTGAGGGCAGCTCGAGCTGCATAGTGAGTTCAAGGCCAGCCTGAGCTACATAGTAAGACGGTGTCTCACCAAAAAACCACAAAAGCCAAAACCAAAAAACCCAAGACTATCAGAGCAGGTCATAACCCAGTCAGGCTGGGAAGGTAGGAGTAGTGGCACATGCCTGTAATCGTAGCGCTTAGGGAGACAGAGGCAGGGTGATACCAAGTTCAAGCCAAGCCCAGGCAATTTAGAATCTCAGGGTGAAGGCAAGGCAGTGGGGGAGAGGGAGAAAGGGCAGAGAGGGAGATCAGGAGGGCAGAAACACAGAGGAATGACCACGTGAAGCTATCATGAGAAGATAGGCAACCAGAGGAGCAACTAAGCACGGCCACACTCCTGGCCCACTGGGAGATAGCACTATGTGTTGTTTTAAGCCACTAAGTGTGGGGGTAATTTTTTGAGGCTTTCCATTTTATTTAGTTTTTAAATTTTTATTAGTATATGTTTACAGTACATAGTGATTGCACACATTGTGGTGAGTTGTTCTATATACATATTTTTCGTTCTTTTTTCATTCCTTTCCTTCCCTACCTTGGGTAATTTTTTTTAGGCAAAAATAAGTGATACATATAATTATCTTAACTAAAATTCAGAAAGTTTTTTGAAGTCGAGTAACTACCTTATTTGTTCTGGTTACACACAATGCGCATAATTAGCAGCTGGCATAAAGGTGGCATAAAGCTAAGATCCCAGCACTCGGAAGATTACTTCAAATTCAAGGCCAACTTGAACTCCATAGGGAGACCCTGTCTCCAAACAAACAACCAAACAACATTATGCATCACTAATGAGTAGGGGATTCAGGGTTTCTTTTTCCATAATAATATATGGGTTTTTTTGTATTTTAAGGACTAAAAACTAAAGTTTTAAGCTTTCAAATTAGCATGGATAAAATTTAGGACTGAACATATATATATATATACATTTTTTTTTGAGACAAGATCTTACT